CTGCTCCCCTGCATTTTCCTTAGGGCAGGGCAGCTAGCTGGTCACGGTGGCCCAGGACTGCTGACTTAGGGAGGACTGTCACAGTGAGGAAGACTGCTCTATGTGGCAAGAATGAAGTGGAAACCATGCTTATCTGTCCTAAACCAGTGGGTACTGGGGCTCAGAGGGCCGGTGCAGCAACATTTGGGGGCATCCTTTTATTCTAAGGAATTATAGGGAAGGGGAAATTTCAGTATGAGTTTGGACTTGTGCTAACCCAGTGTTGGTGTGCTAGAGAAGCTTCTATAAAGCCAGCAGAAGATAGTCAGGATTGTGAACCCCAGCTCTGGCAGAGATCATCTCTTTCACTGTGGGAAACAACCCTGCCCTCACACTCTCACTGTCTCTGGCTCTTCTCAATATTAGGTATATGCATGTATATGCCTCTTTTGTGTGCACCGACTGGGTAAGCGCTAAGATTCTAGTTGAGAATTGCACATGACATAAAAGGGCAAGATTATTAACATTTTTCATTCTAGGACATTCAAGCCAACCTTGTTCAGGGGAAGGGGGTTTCCCATGTGGTCAACTTTAATACACTAGTAACTACACTGAACAATGCTACACTATTCTCACTATACTAATAACTCTACTACAGTAAAATTTGGGACTAAATAAATGCAACCAATTGTATTCAGTCTTGTTTTGCCATCTCTGCACATATTTTCTTCAGAGCACTGCTGGAAAGAAGTATTTACACCCAGTTATTAACCATAGTTCCTAATCTATGAAGAAAATAGAATTGGAAACAATAGGGAGCAATGAGCAAGGCTGAACATGTCAAAGAGAAGATCGAAGAGGAAGGAGGATTTGAGCAAGGGAAATGACACTGTATTAGTTACTATTCTCTTGTAGCTGAGACAAAATACCTGACACCCAAAGTTAAAGACAAAACGGTTTATTTAGCTCACAGTTTGTAGAGGTTTTAGTCCATAATCAGCTGGCTCCAAAGCAAGGTGGCTTGGCAGAGGGGCTTGGCAGAGGAGAACACTTTATGGCAGACAGATGGTAGTAAAGCAACAAGGGAACTTAACAGTGTCTTTCTGCCCCTTTTATCTTATTCAGACTACTTAGGGTGGGGAGCACTCACACCCTTACTCCTAGTGCCCTTGAGCCTAGCACTGCATCATGAATCAGTTCCAGCTTCACACACTCTAGATCAAGCTACCTCTGCAAAAGGCTATGAGCACATGAGGTTTTGGGGGGACATCTAGACACAAATCGTAACTGACACTATCTTATATAACATAATATTTCTTCCATAGAGTATGGGCCCTTTAAATTGGTTTTTCTGTTGCCTGCATCCAAAAGCACTGCCAACAGTTACCTCATCTTTGTCTTCCTGAGCTTTATTTCACCAGGTAGCTCTCTTTCCATTGGAGATAACTGATTTTGTATTAAGGAAGGTGACATTTCCTCATGGGACTTCTTACCAATGTTTGTGCTAACTTTTACAGATCACAGGGAAATCTCTGTGCCATCAACACAAGGGTAAAATATGAGTTGAAGAGTTCTATTCTCATCAAAACTATTGAAAGAGGCATAGAAGATCGATCTAAAGAAGGGAACTTCTTGTGACTAGGATGGGAACAGCACCGAAGATCCATATGGGAACTGAAACTGGGGAAAGGTTTGGGGTCAGAGGAGCTCTACAGGGCTCAGCAGGTGACTGTGGACACCCTAGACCCTTTTTCTTAATGTGATTCACATACTTTCTATGTCTTTTTATTTCTGTCTCATTACTAAGAAGGAATTACCAAATTCATGGGAAAGAGGATAAGAGTACCCCATTCTCCAGGCCACACCACACAAGCTCAAGGTTTCTGACAAGCTTGAGGGACTAGCTACTGATAGACCAGATGCCCAGGGACAGTACGTATAGCTACGGGACGGATAGAGTCCTGTCCTATAGCATAAAGCTCTTTATTGCAACAGAAAGAGGAAATGATTAAATAAACATGAAACTAAGTCTGGGTGATTCAGGCAGTAGCAGACATCTCCAACACATCTACCTCTTCTCTGTTAGTATCATTTTATAAGGGCCTATTTCTTCTTGATCTCTCTGACACTCAATATGTAAAATGAAAAATTATTTTTGCTTCCTGCATTTCTTTTGCAAGTCTGGGTTCATCTGGAATTTTAGTGCCCTAACAGTTACTTTTGGTTTCTTCTTCCCATCTATATGTATCAGCCTTTTGAAATCTGAACTAAATGGAGTACACCAGCAGCAAACACACATTTTTGTTAGGACTTCCCTCATATTATGGCATTATGATTTTGGGGGGCTTACAAACTTTTATCTTCATGAGCCCCTTCCTCTATCAAAATATTTTAAAAATTGCCAGGGATTTAGCTCAGTACCTGAGCTGTACCTGCCTTAGTGCTGTACCTGCCTTGCAAGCACAATGTCCTGAGTTCAATCCCTGGTACCAGAAAAAAAATTTTTTAATGAAGAAGTCAAAATTGTATTGGTATAAAAAGCAAATATAATACAGATATAGATGGATACAGGTTGGATTTACTACTGCATATTCATTTATTCAGATTCTAAAAGAAGTTACATTAAGACATTTTCATAAGTTGATTTTTTTTGTTGTTTTTTGAGATACAGTCTCACTATGTAGTTGTCTTGAACTTGCAGTGATCCTCCTGCCTTAGCCTCCCAAGTGCTGGGATTACAGGCAGGTGCCTCCATGCCCAGCTTTCATAAATTCTTAAGAGTATCAAGGGCCCTGGCTACTGCATGTCTGCCTAATGAGTAAGTTGGCCCTGCTTGTTCTGTCTTTTCCTCTGGCTCATGTCCTTTACAATCCAAAGTTTCAAAGCTCCCTAACTTTCTTAGTCTTGGCTTTGAAAAGGCCCTCATGCCATAGACATACGACAATCATTCATCTGAATGTTCTCAAATGTAAATTTTTAGTATATGTGCTGCCAAAGCAAGCACTGAAATGTAAATTTTTAAAGGTAAAAGTAATGATTTTATACCTAGGAAATTCTAATGCCTTTAGATACCTCATCTCTACACAGAGAAAACAATAACTACTTTAAATGAAATAGAGATGTAAAAACACATTTTAAAACATAAATCATTTCATAAAGTTTGAGTATCAATATATATTTTACATTTTTTTTTGGTACCGGGGATCAAACTTGGGTCCTTGGGCTTGTGCAGCAGGTGGCAAAACCACTGAGCTAAATCCCCTACTTTACATTTTTTAGTTGAAAATTGAAATTGAAAATAGGACACACATGTGTATATACTGAATAGTTTCTCTAGTGTGAGAAACTGAAAGTGTAAATAAGGACTAAAAGGTATAATAGATAATGTGAAATAGGAAGAAAAGGGGCAAAGGGGAAGGGGAAGTGGGAGGGGTAGGGGAAAGGAAAGAGGGGAATGGAATTAATATAAGAAAATGGAAAAATGGAAACAAAGTCTTTGTATTTTGTTTTGGTTTTGGTACCAGAGATCGAACTCGGTACCTTGTGTTTTCGAGGCAGGCAGGGGAACCACTGAGCTAAAACCCAGGGCCCAAAGTCTTTGTAAATAGGGAGGGATGGAAGGATTGAAGGGAGGGCAGGGAAATGAGGAAAAAATAAGAACCAAGAGAGATTATGTAAAGGTGCAAATTTCCAATGATGAATGTCATTATACTGTATACCTAAGATGTACCAATAAAATTAATTTTAAAAAAAGAATATTCTGCCTGCCTTGAAAGTGCAGGGACCCGAGTTCAACCACCAGTACCAAAAAAAAAGAATATTGAAATGGAAAATTTAACTGTGCAAATTCAGTTTTATATAGAGCTATTTTGGGTAAAAGGCTAATAACAGAAAATTCGAAGAAATACTTTTTTAAAAACAAAAAGAGGATTGAATTCAGGGTCTTCCCACAGAGCTACATCCCTAGTCCTTTTTGAATTTTGTGATGGTCCTGCTAAGTTGCCCAGGCTGGCCTTGAACTTCAGATCTTCCTGCCTCAGCCTCCCAGAGTGCTGGGGATACAGTCATGCACCACCACACCCAGCTAAATGGTCCTTATTGATGCATCACTGGTTTTTGTTCTTGAATGTGGCACAACTGTTAACTCAGTGTCATTTTCAAAACTAAATGAGGCCCTTCTCTTTCGGCAATGCATGCATGTGCCTCTTCAGAGAGGCAGGGAGCACCTGCTCTACAATACAAAGGGTGAACATCAGGTTGTCTTAATAGACCAAAAGGAGAAAGAAGCAAAGATCCTTTCTTTACTCTCTATCATTAATCTAAACTGATGTTAGCTATACGTATCCAGCTACTGAAGGAGACCTGTCATGCAGGACTTGGGAGAAAAGCATCCTAGGCACATGATATTCTCCCTTATTAATCTTCCCACTAAAGACAGAAGAACAGGAAATAACTCACTACAAATTTAAATGCATAACGTCAGGAAATCCTAAGACTAGAAGAAAGTTTAAGAGTTCAACTAAGGCAATTCTTTCCCTTTATCATAGATTATGTAGTTGAGAGATTTAAATGAAATGTGTGAACCACTGTTCTTTATAGAACGCTTTTAAAAATACTCAAATATCTCTAAAGACATTATTTTAGAAATACATTATCTCTGTGGTATAGGGGAAGGACATGTAGAGCCACTGACCATAACTTAGAAGTGGATAAACTTTTCCTATAAAACACTGAATAGTGAAGATTTTAGGCTTTTGAAGCTACATAGGTTCTCTAACAGATTTTTTTTTTTTCAAGTGCCTTTAAAAATATAAAAACCTTTCTTTTTTGATGGGCCATACAGAAGCAGGTGGGTCAAATATGCAGGTCATGATTTGCTGATCATCAAACAAGACAGTAAAATTGAAGTGATAAAAAAAGAATCAATTTATAAATCAATGAGGGGAAAAAAGGAGTAAAATTTAAATCTTCACATCTCATTCAATATATCATTCTTTACCTACGGAAAATCTCTACTGTACCTGAAATTCATCAAAACATAAGAGACGTGCTTCTTGGCTGATTTCTTCAGCTATGGGAGCTATTGGGTCATATGACTTGGTCATGAATCCTGGTTTCCTTTTTGGCAAATTCTGTTTAAGGCGATGTATTCCTTAGATGGATGAAATTTAAAACAAGTATTAATGTACATGGTAAAGAATTATAGAATATTTTAAATCCCTACATGAAACTTTAGTGAAGACATAAAAATTAGGTTTAAATGTGATTACAATTAAATTCAATTATTGAAATCAGTTGTATTTTTTCTATGTTGAAATAAATTGTTCAACTAGTTTAGTTCTACAGTTGTAAGGAAACTTCAAGGTCATTCACTTTCCATTCTGGAATCACTTCAGACATGATAAAGTGGGCCAGGGGTTTGGCTCTGTGGTTCCACCGCCTGCCTCGAAAACACAGAGTCCTGAGTTTGATACCCAGTACTAAAAAAAAAGAACAGAGATGGTAAAGTGATCACTGGTCAACAGAGTAATCCTAATCCTGATGATTTCAGTGATGCAAGAGGTTGTGGTCATGCCCAGGAAGTGCATGTTACATTCAGCATATCTAATCAAATGTCCCTGTGCTGGGGATTTAGCTCAGTGGTTCTGCCACCTGTCCTGCAAGCGCAAGGACCCAAGTTTGATCCCCGGTACCAAAAAAAAAAAAAAAAAAATCCTAATCTACAAATGTCTCCTTTTCTCCAGTCCCATATATCAAAGCCAATCCCATTTCATTCACATTATGTGCACTAATTGCTGAAACTGTTAGGGAAAAAAACACAGTGTTTCTGGTCTGGGAGGTGACAGTACGGCTGATAGAAAAACCACACAAAAATAAAATAAGAACACCACGCAAAGTAATAAAGTGTACATATATGCAAATACAAACTGAATGCCTACATGCTAAAGCTATGTGGAATAAAGAACCTATCAAGAATAACATTTTAGCCGGATGTGGTGGTGCACACCTGAAATCCCAGCACTTGGGAGGCTGAGGCAGGAGGAATTCTGTGAATCTGAGGCCAGCCTGGACTATACAAGACCATGTCTCCACCAAAAAAAAAAAAGAATAACATCTTGAAACAGTGTATTTTTAACATTTTTTATTAACCGTTAGTAGAAATAAAAAATGCTGGATCTTCATGTAATAACTTCTGTTTTCTAATTGGGAAGTACTGAATTGGTCTTAAGAACCAACTCTGAATGTACTACTGTTTCAAAATAGCACAAAACAAATAAAACCAAACAAAATCTTACTTCAAGCAAAAATCTAATTTTTTTAGTTTTTCAGTTTTGTTGTTGTTGTTAGCTTTTTTGTTTTGTTTTGTTTTGAGGGGATAGGGTTTCACTATGTAGTTCAGGGTTGCCTTGAACTGATTATATAGTCCTGGCTGGCCTCTAACTCACAGTGATCCTCCTGCCTCAGCCTCCCAAGTGTTATGACTACAGGCATGCACTACCACACCTGGGAAAAAAAAGTATATAATTTTTTTAAAGAGTATATGTTTATTCACTGCAAAAAACTGTTTTGTAGAGTTTGCCCACTGAAGAATAACTTCTTTCAGGTCATTTTTAACTTACTTTTGTGCACATCTAGCATGAAACCATGAAAATGGACCCGTTTTTTCCTCTTCATTTCCACATAAGTATAAAATATGTCCATCACCATTGTTTTCCCTGTACCTTAAGGATAAAAATAAGAAATTAAGAATGCTATTAGAGGACTGGGGATTTAGCTCAGTGGTTCTGCCACCTGCCTCACAAGCACAAGGTCCAGAATTCAATCCCGATCCCCAGTACCAAAAATAAATAAATAAATAAAAGGAATGCTATTAGATAGTATGTACCAATTGCTCAAATGATTGTCATTAGTTTTGAGATAATGAAACACACTTGTACTGGAAAGCTGAAGCCAGTGTTACTTTTTTAGAAGGGACGGTTTACTCCGTATATTGAACTGGCTAGCCAGCCACTATGGTGCCGAGACCCAATAACGCCCATAGCTGAAACCCTAGCTACTGAGGACCCTGAGGCAGGAGGATCACAAGTTCAAGGTCAGCCTGGGAAACTTAGTGGGACCCTGTCTCAATAAAAAATAAATAAATAAAATAAAAAGGCTAGGGATGTAGCCCAACATATCCTGGGTTCAATTCCCAGCACTGAAAAAGCAAAGTTAGATTTTTAAAATGTTGATATTAACCTTTATTGTTACAATCCAGTTTTGGGGAAATACGTACAACATTTAGTTAACATTACAGTGGCTATTTTCCCCAGACATAACATACACTTCTATGTTTATAAACCGGCAAGATTTAGAGATTATTCTTCAGTCTTCTCTTGTAAAAAAACAACACTAGTATAAATAAAATTAATATTAATTATTAATATTAATTATTAATAATTAATTATTGGGTCATTCTATGAATAAGGAACTGTTTTAGACACTAGAAAAATTCAGAAATGAAAAATAAGAAAATTAAGATGAGAAAAATAAAAATGATTATCTATCATAAATATTGAAAATAAATAACAGGTAGATGAGATCTGGAGAATGGTTTATAACAGATTTTTTAAAAGATGAGAATATAAGTTTTCAAATGAGGCCCTCTTAAAGATAGTCAATCTTATAATTAAATGATCTAGCTTTCAACACTCTGAAACTTTTAATCACTACAATTACATCAGTGATTGAACACCAACAGCTTAAGCCCTTGAGGCAGTCTAGCGCAAAGAGCCTTACTGGGGGAAACCCAGTGGCAGCACCTACTGGCTCTCGCCCCCGCATCTGCAGTGGGCCAGGCCCATCTCCCTCCTTTCTCCACCCTCCACACTCACTGACAGGAGCTACAGTTACTAAAAGTTAAAGATCTGAGTCACATGCTTTGGGCTTTCCTCTATCCCAGAAGACAACTTGGAGCCCACAACATCTGAGGGCCAGAACGTTTTCATGGGACTGAAGCTGTGACGCAGGGTGGGAATTTATCTCGCATGTGCGTGGCCGGAAAAAAAACAAGAAAAAAAGGATTTTTCTGTATGTAAGACAATTCTCCACAAATATGAAAGAATTTAAACTATACAGAATATATTCACCGACCATAATAAATTAGTAATCAAACAGATATTTAGAAAATTACCCCATACTTGGAAATTAAGCAATATGCATCTAAATAACCCTAGGACAACTGCAAAAATTATGAAAAAAATTAGAATATGTTAAACTGAATGAAAATTAAAATGCAACATTTCAAATTTTCATTAATGCCACTAAAGCAGCACTTAGACATAAATTTATTACTTTTAAATGCTAATATTAAAAAAATAGGGGTGGGGATTTAGCTCAGTGGTTCTGGCGCCTGCCTCGCAAGCGCAAGGTCCCGAGTTGGATCCCCGGTACCAAAAAAAAATTTTTTTTTTAATTAAAAAAAAAAACAACTTTAAAATTGTGTAAGTTTCTACTTTAATAATAAGAGAAAAGATAGCAAGTAAAACCAAAACCAAATGTATGAAAAATGAAATAATAAAAAGCAGGAGTAATAGAACAGAAATGAAACAATAAAAAAATTAGTAAAACCAGAAGCTGATTCTTTGAAAACAAAAAATAATAATTGATTAAAAACTCTAATTGATCTGAGAAAAATGTGATGAAATACAAACTGTCAATATCAGGAATGAAAGAGAAGTATCACTACAGCTCCCAGAGATATTAAAAGGATAATAACAAAAAAGTAATAAATTATAAACAACTTTCTGTTGATAAATTCAGCTTAGATAAAAGAAATACATAAATGAAAAGAAAAACATAAATGATCAAAACTATCATAAAAAGAAATAATGAAAATCTAAATAATATAATAACCTAAAATAAATTTAAATAACTATATTTATTAAATAAATTTATGAGTAATAACTTTCCCACTAAAAACATTTCTGGTTCAAATGGCTTCATTACTAAAAACTGGCCAAATATATTAGGACTACATACACTGTGCTAATCTTATACAAAGTTCTGAGAAAATAGAGGAAGAAGGAGTACTTCCCAATTCATTTTATGAGACCAGCAACAAAAAGAATAATACATCATTATCAAATGAGAGGTTTATATCAGAAATACAATAATGGCCTATTAAAAAATCAATCAATTTAATTCACCATATTAGGAAAATAAAGAAGCCAAGCATGGTGCCATAGTCTTATAATTCCAGCACTCTGGGAGGCTGAGGCAGGAGGATCACAAGTTTAAACTCAGCCTGGGACACTGTGTGATTTAGTGAAATCCTGTTTCAAAATTTTAAAAAACAATAATAAAAGGGCTGGGAATATCGCTCAGTGTGAAGGCTCTGGGTTCAAAGTCAGATTTGCAAAAAATAAAAAAATAAAGGAGAAACCCTCAATTACCATCACAACATTTGAAAAAAAAAAAACCTGACTAACTTTAGCACCCATTCATGATAAAAACTAGGAGTAACAGAAGACTCTCAACCTGATAAAGGATAAATACCAAAAAAGCACTACATACTATAAAGATAGTCAACATCAATAATCATTATAGTAAAGTAAATCAAAACTATAAAAAGATACCACTTAACATACATTAGAATGGCTATTATCAAACAAAAAAATAAATTTAAGAAGAATAAAAATTAGAAATGTGCCTTGCTGATGGGAACAACAATGGTAGTGCTGCTGTGGAAAACAGTATGGAAGTCCTTCAAAAAGTTAAGTATAATGTGACTGTTATGGCTTGTTTAGACATGCCCCCAAAGCCTCATCCAGATGAGATGGGGCTTTCTTCTCCAGAGGTGGCTGAATCTGCAATGTGTGATGCTGGGATTAAGGGCATGTGGTTACTAAACCACTACACAAGAGTGATTGGTTTGGCACTGCCCTAATCCTGGTGGTCTGGATGGGATAAAAGGAGCAGAAACACACTGTTAAGGCCCCTTGCTGCTTTTGCTACCATGTGGGTGCCATGAACTGTTTCTCCTCAGGAAGACCTGTCTGCTATGCCACCTTTCCTTGGAGCTAGCTGATTATGGACTGAAACCTCTACAAACTGTAAGCCAAAAAAACCTTTCCCCCTCTAACTTTGGGCGTTGAGTATTTTGTCTCAGCAACGAGAGAAAAAGTAACACAGTGACCATACATTCCAACAATTCCACTTCTGGATATATACATAACAATAATTGAAAACAGGGATTCGAACAAATATTTATACACTAATGTTTGTAGCAGCATTATTCACAATAGCCAAAAGATAGAACAATCCAAAACATTGATGGGTAAATAAAATGTGGTGTATACATATTATTCAGCCTTAAAAAGAAAGAAAATTCTGATATATACTACAACATGGAAATAATTTGCTAATATTGTATGAGTCCACTTACATGAGGTACCTAGAGTAGTCAAAGTCAGAGATAGGAACTAGGAGGTGGATGGAGGAGGGTAGGGGTAAAACCGAGGTCACTGTTTAATGGGTACACCAAAAATTTCAGTGAAATCCCAACTCTTAGAAGATTCTACCAGTGACAGAGAAAACTATGTCAGAGTCTCTTCCTGCCCTTGGGCACAAGACCAGGCAAAGTCTACTTGCTGTCTGTTGGTCTGAGGAGTCCGAATTCCCAGTATCCTATAAAACTCAGAGTCCCTATTAATTAGATAAATTCACAAAAAAAGAAGATTCTAATGCAAATGTTCAGAAGAGGTAAACTATTAATTCAATGGTACCCTTAAAATTTTTCAAGATATTTATAACAGTTTAGATCCAAGTTGTTTAGAAATACTGTAGCTTAGACATTTAGCTAGAAGGTAGGCTCTGGGATAACTGAGTCTAACCAGCTCTATTTAGTGAAGGAGAAAGCTTGGCCTTATGGAAAGTCCAGCAAGACAAGCCAAGGTCTACAGAAGTGTGACAAACACTGGGACATGAGGTGATGGCTACTAAAGATGCTGGACCAGTGCTTTCAAAATTGACACAACAGAATTACTCTGTCATGAAATAGAACTGGACAAAAAAATACCAAAATGAGCTGGGCACACACCTGTAATCCCCACATTCTGGGAGCCTGAAGCAAGGAAATCATAAGTTCAAGCCCAGTCTGGGTAACTTAGTGAGACCCTGCTCAAAATAAAAGGGCTGAGGACGTAGGTCAGTGTGAAGACCCCAGGCTCAAATCCCCAGTATGAGGAGGAGAAAGAGAAAGAGCAGTAGGGGCAGGGGGAGAAGAAAGAAGAAAGCAAGGAAAAGGGGGAAGGAAGGACAGAAGGAAGAAAAGAAGGGTAGGAGGAGACAGAAATCAAAGGAGTCCTGTGTAAGAGTGTAAAATTCTCTTCAAGTATATGTGTTATGTTAGGCCAGGATGTAAAATATATTTCTTTCACTATGGGTCATGTAGAAAAAGGCCATTGCTCCAGTTTGTAAACTTTGCATGAGTGCTTTTATTCACCGTACATCTCCAGAAGCAACACACTGCCTGACACAAGGTAGATGCTCAATCCACATTTGTTAGGTGCTAAGGAAAACGTCAAGTGACCTTGAAAAACAGTGGGGAAGAAACCAACACCAAATTTTACTTATTCACAATTTGCTTTGGTCTCTATGAAGTCATAAAGAAAATCTTAATTTTTTCTTCAAGAAAGGATTCTTACCAGCAGATTCAATTATAAAACCTAAACTTTTAAATCCACAAAGATTGAACATGAAAGGGAAGGTACAGAAAGCAAGAGAGGAGGACATGAGAGAGAGCCCAACCCAGTACAGGCATGAGGAGCATAGATATCCTCTTTTCCCACTAAGTTTCCTTAGAATTTAGTACCTGTTTTCCAAGTACAAACAAAGGAAACAGTAAATAGAATAAGAGTTTGTGACAGAATTCTGAAACTATTCTCTCAGTCACAGAACCTTTCAAAATGAGAACTTGACCTATCTTTTATTACTTTTTTTGTAAGTCTTCTAAATTGATCATAACCATCAAAATATTCATTGTGCTTGCTATTTCAGAAGTCCTTTCTTTTCCCCATCTATATCATAAAGATATTTCTATACAAAGGTTGCCATGCACCCAGCTAAGTGAATATCCCACGTTATTACATCTTTTTAATTTCTTTTCAAGCAGATAAATTACTTGTTTTGTATCTACCCTCAATTAGTTAGAAAATGGATATATTAAAATCCAAAAATTTTCAGGAGGCTTGGGGGGAGGGGAGGGTTTGGTTGTTCTGTTGTTGTTGTTGTTTTTGTAAGCCCTTTTGCAGAAGTAGAAGCAGTTTTATTTTACCAACCTTAAGGCAATAGGAGAAACAAAAATGATGATTTTCATAATGAATGAACATAAAAGTGAAGGTATAGGAAGTAAGATATTCTCAGGAGAAAAGAACAAGATCTGACAATAGACTAAGATCTACTAATGGTGCCCAAAAATACGGGCATATAAAATTGATTTAAGCATCTGCTGTAAAAAAGAAGTATACAATGGTTTCAAAAATTCCAATTAATGTTTCCCTACCATGTGGAATCTGAAAAAGATGGTATGAAAATAGAAGGGAGACTGTAATTAGACACAGGAAGGGAATAAGGAGGAGGGGGAGAGGAGTGTAAGGGTAAAGAGAGGGGTGGGGATGATTGAAATATAATATATGCACACATGAAAACATCACATTAAAGCCCAATATTTTGTAAAATTAATAAACACTGACAAAAAAAATTTTAATGTAAAAATCTTTCCAATTACCCAATTATCTAAGAAAAAGAATAGAGCTTGAACAGAATAGAATTTGAGCTTCTTTAATATTTTTTTAAAGTGTAATTTTTAAGAACTTGAAGAATTTTATAAATGTCAAACAGGTATATAAAGGCATTGATAATCAAATCAGAAGAAGAGAAAGTAGACAAAAAAGACAAAGTTTCACTTTTGTTGGGTCTTTGTTTTTTTGTTTTGTTTAGCTTTGGGGGTTTTTTGAGACAGAGACTCAGTATATATAGTTAAGGCTGGTCTCCAACTCATGGCAACACTCCTGCTTCCACCTCCCAAGTACTGGGATTACAGGCATGAGCCACCACACTCAGCTAAGGGATTACAGGTATGAGCCACCATACTCAGCTAAGAACAGTTTTATTTTTAATTAAGGCATTATAACTACTTATTAAACTCCTATTTATTTTCTCGTCTAAAAAATTTTACTGAAAAACTAAACCCTGCCACCATCCCCTCATAACACAAATGTGTTACAGCTCTGGGGAGCCTGGAGTATGTTTATTAATCTAGATTCAAAACATTTCTTCTTACATGTAAGTGTGAGTGTCCAGTGTTCCAGTGAGAGAAATAATTGATAGGAAAGAATTCAATAGAGCCAAGTAAAGTGGGAGCCATCTTCTGCCAACAGTGAAGATGAGTAACTAGGGATAGGTTTAAGGCTAGAAGAAATTGTTTGTTTGAAGGAAATGAAAACCAGAAAATAGAGGGTCTTATACAGCAAGGATAAGACCAAAAACGACCACATGGGCAAGATATTAACTGATCAGGAAAGTTTAGGAAAGTAAGTGTCCACTCAGAAGGTTTCCAACAAAATAAGAGAGTTTGTGTGACCATTGTATAGAACTAGGAGACCAAGGAAATGTTACCATTGATACATTAAAAGTATCTAATAAGTTAAACATAATTGTCAAGTACAGTGTATGTTCCTGTAGTCCCACTGCTTTCAGAGGCTCAAGCAGGAAGATCACCTCAACCCAGATGTTCCAAACCAACCTAGGCCCCATATCAAAAAACCTGTCTTGAAAATAATACTGGTAATAACAACAAAAACAACACCTAGGTTATCTAAGGGCCTAGATTATTAATATAAATGAGTGGATATTAAAAGTAAATAAAAAACATTAGCCAGAGCAATCAAGCAAGAGAAAGAAATAAAAGGGATACATATAGGAAAGGAAGAACTCAAATCATCATTATTTGCAGATAACACGATCCTCTATTTACAAGACCCAAAAAATTGTACTAAAAGACTCCTAGAATTAATAACCAAAGTCAACAATGTAACATGATACAAAGTAAAAAAAAGGAAGTAAGACCTCTACAACAAAAATTACATCCCTCTGAAAAAGGAGATTGAAGAGGACATCAGAAAATGAAAAGATCCCCAGTTCTTGGATAGGAAGAACCAATACAGCCAAAATGGCCATACTTCCAAAACTGATATACAGATTTAACACAATCTCAAACAAAATACCAACAGCATTCATAAAATTCATTTGGAACCAGAAGAGACCAAGAACAGAAAAAGCAGTCCTCGGAAACAATAGCAAAGCAGAAGGCATCACAACCCCAGATTTGAAGTTATATTACAAAGTCACACAATTAAAAACAGTAAGGGACTGACACAAAAACAGAAAATGTGGATCGATGGAACAGAATAGATGAAGCAGAAACAACTGTAGATACATTGAACTCTGAGTTCAACAAAAGGGCCAAAAACATCACTAAAGAAATGATAGCCTCTTTAATAAACAGTGCTGGAAAAATTGGATATCACATGCAGAAGATTGAGTCTAGACCCATATATCTTACTATCCACTAAACTAAAATCAAAATTGATTGAAGATCTAAGTATTAAAACAGAAACACTTAATCTGATGGAAGATAAACTAGGTAAAACCCAAACCAGACATGGTGGCACGCACCACCATGCACTATTCCAGCACTCAGGAGGCTGTGGCAGAAGGATTGCTAAGAGTTTGAGGTCAACTTGGGCTACATAATGAGTCCAAGGCCAGGCTGAATTACCTAGCAATACCCTGTCTCAGAAAAAACAAACAAACAAACAAAAAGGTAAAACAGTTGAAGACAAAGACATATGTAAGGACTTCCTGAATAGAACCCCAATGACACAAGAAACAATACCAAGAATCAACAAATGGGATCATATCAAATTCAAAAGCTTTTGCATAACCAAGGAAACAACCAACAGAGTGAAGAGACAACCTACAGAATGGGAAAAATTTTTGTTAGTTATTCCTCAGACAGAGGACTAACATCTAGAATATATAAAGAACTCAAAAAAATTAGACCCCCCAAAATAAAAGACCCCCCCAAAAATGGGCAACTGAAATGAATAGACACTTCTCAGAAGTACAGATGGCCAATCAATACATGAAAAAATGTTCAACATGTCTAGCCAGCAGAGAAATTTAAATTAAAATAACACTGAGATTCTATTTTACTCCAGAAAGAATGGCTATCATTAAGATATCAAATAATAACAAATGTTGGGTAGGCTATGGAGAAAAAGGAACCCTTCTAAATTGTGACTAGGAATATAAACTCCTCAAAAGGAGATTGCTCAAAAAACTAAAAATAAAGTCCTTTTAACCCAGCTACACCCTTTCTAGGAATCTTCCCAAAAGAGTTAAAGGCATCACATTACAGCGATACATGCATACCCATGTTTATAGCAGCATACATACTGAATCTTAGGAACAGCCTATATGCTCAACAGATGAATGGATAAGAAAATGTGGTATTTATAAACAATGGAGTATTATTTTCCCATAGAGAAGGATAAACTTGAGGCATTTTTAGGTAAATGGATACACCTCAAGACCATAATGTAAAGTAAAATAAATCAGGCACACAAGTTTAAATATTGCATGGTTTCTTTTATATGAGAAACCCAAAATATAAATAAAGAGTAAAATAAAGGATAGATAATAGAAAGAGGGGAGATATTTTTCAAATGTGAAGGGGAAGAAGAGATAGAGGGAAGGGGAGGGAAGGAAGGGAAAGGGGATTAAAAAAGAGGAAAAAAAAAAAACAATATTTCTCTCCAAGAAACAGATGAGTTGCAGTGAGCAGGGAGGGATGGGAGGGGAATGAGACAAAAAAGAATTAAGATGTGTTATGTACATATACCAACTCCCCTAGATAAATGTAATAATTCTTTACTGCAAACATATACTAATAAGAACATTTTTTAAATGCACAAATTACAGGGCATTACAATGAAACTGAAGTTTTCACTTGAGAAAAACAAATATGAACAGTTTATTTTTAAAAAATTATTAAGCTGAGTCAAAAAGCACTGAGTAATAGGATCCTGATTTATTTAATAACCTATCTATACATGATTTCCTTCCCTGAATTCAACTCACTGTGTGCATTATATAATGTTTGCATCCTAACACAGTATCAAATCATAATTCTGCCTAGAATTATGGCCCTGTTCTATGAAAAGTAAAGCAAAAGATGAAAAACTGCCTTTCTCTCCCATCCCCTCCCCCCAACTTTACCCAGTCTCATCTGCTCCCTTGTTGTAGCGAATTATCAGATGGAAATGGAAGTTATCCTAGAGTAAAAACTAGAAAACTTTTTGATTGGCCCACCCAAAACTTATTTTAACACTTACCAACATCTCCATAAACATACAGGCCCCTTGGAGGTTTGCTCCTTGAAAAAAGCTGCAAATTAAGAACAAATTGTAAATCTCCACCATGAAAATAATTAGATGGAGTCATATATATAATGGTTTTTTTTTTCTTTCGGTACCAGGGATTGAACTCAGGACCTTGCACTTGCAAGGCAGGTGCAGCACCACTGAGCTAAATCCCTGGCCCTATAATGTTCTTAACTATGTTATATACAGGATTTGGAGAGACTGTTATACAGTGAGTAAGGAAAAATTTGCTATAAAAGTCTGTGAACTTCTTACATTTCTTCCCTTGCAATGCAAGGTCCAAAAGAAGAGGCTATGCTAGGTGCTCCCACACAGAGCTAAGGGTCTCTGGCCAGCAACGGGAAGGACATAGGTGAGCTTTTCCTGTGATCCAGAAAGCAAACCAGTGGTGTCCAGATTAAGATCTTTCCATTTTCACTCTTGAACTACTTATGTAAAATTCTAAAAAGAAATTTAAACACACACACACACAAATAAACACTTGCAGTTTATAATAAATACAGCAGAAGTATTTCAGAATTGGGGTATATTTTGATTCATAGCCTCCTTATTCTGAGAGGGAAACTCAATGTCTTTGTATCTTAGCTTTCTCATTTGTACAATGGAAAATACAAATATGAGCGCTTTACAGATTAAGTAATGTACTTCAGGTTGGCCTAGAATTCACTACGTAGCCCAAGCTGGCCTCAATTTAATGGTGATTCTCCTGCCTCAGCCTCCAAAGTGCTGGGATTACAGGTATGCACCACCATGCCCAACTATGCCATCATGTATTATGTTACATTTATGTGCAAGAAAAAATTTATTTTCTAGTCAACAAATTTTTATTTATTTTATTTTTTTGTTCATCCGATACCTTGCATTAAAATGTTGTATGCTTCATTTATCTAAGATTATGCACAGGAATATACTTATTTTCCTCTTTGGCCTCATTTCTAGAATGCTTCTGGCTTTGGCTGCATATTTCCTAAAATATATATAATCTTCATGGAATGATAAGTTTTGATCATACCCTACCACTCATATACCATTGTATCCATAAATTAATGTTTACATATAAAAAATGCACACACATGTTATAAACAGAGCAAACCATAAAAAATTAGCAACAAGGACATAACACATTATTTGTAGATGATTTTTGTATAAAAATATATCACACAATTGACATTTTTTGAAATATCACCAAATTTAAAGTAAAAATGAAAATTTAATAATTCTTTAAAATTATTTAATTTCTATGTACTCTGTAGATCTTTCAGTAAGCTAAGAAACCATTCATTTTGGCTTTTCAGTATACACTTTGTAATAATTTCAATATATTTGACAAATTTTTTTTTTGGTACTGGGGATCAAACTCAGGACCTTGTGCTTGCAAGGCAGGTGGCAAAACCACTGAGCTAAATCCCCGGCCTGATAAATATTTTTTATTCTCCTTCATTGCCCTTAAGGCAGCAATTTCCACTTACATGTTCACAGTTAAGATATGATAAGAAAGGGCCAGAGATTTAGCTCAGTGGATCCACCGCCTGCCTTGAAAGCACAAGATCCCAAGTTTGACCTCCAGTACCAAAAGAAAAAAAAGATTTGATAATAAAACAAAAGGGAATGGCTATGTATCTATGTAATAGTAAATACACAGCCAACTTGGGCAATTTTTTTGTAGTCGATGGTTGACTAATAGACTTGATTCTTATTAGTGAAGGTGAAGGTCATTATGTAAAGGAAATGCCTTTGTCACTGAGTCAAGAGAGCAATGTTAATTTTAGCTTTCTTCAAAAATCAAAATCATAGTAATAATCTTACCATTTGCTACAGCAGACCAAATTGGAAGGATAAATGTTTAACTGTTTCTAAAAGTCCTAAAAATGGAGAGGGTAAAACTGCAAATGAATAAATATTATTTGACAGTGTTGGCTGGAGTCTTGAAGAGGACTCTGCGCAAAAATGATTATCCAAAAAAAAAAATACAGGCAGAAGAGCAGAGCTGCCCCCAGCACAGAGGAGGTGAACCTTCTGGGCCACGATACCACCACCCTGAGCACCAAGGAGGTGAGCTGTGTGGGGAGCAGCAGCATGCACACACACACACACACACACACACACACACACACACACACACACACACCCCCTTTGAAATGAGAAGACACATGAACAAGTCTCAAAACCAGACTTTCAGATCACCTAAAGCAACAGCAAAGGGAAATGAGAGGGAACAAGCTGATATTGAAAAAGCTGGACTCCCTGAACTGGCAACAAAAGAGGATCTGGAAAAATTGAAATCAGAAATAATTTCTCAGATATCAGCAGGGATTGTGTCCATAGGGCAAGACATGATTATTAAATATAGACAGGACACAGATAAAAAAATAGAAGACCTGAGGAACATGATGGGATCCCAACATAGGAAACAAATGCAATCCATAAAACAGATCCAAACAGATATCCAGGAAGTTAAAAACTCCACTGAAAGTCTATGAACAGAATGAGCTGATGTGAAGACAGAATTTCAGACACAGAAGATAATATTGCAATTAGTGACCAGGAAAAGAAAAATTTCTTTAAAATAGTAAGGGACCACAAGAAATCAATCCAGCAGCTGCTAGACGATACAAAGAAGAATAACATCACACTGATCAGAGTCAAGGAAGAAACAGGAGTGCAGATGACATAAAAAAACTGTTCACAGAAGTCATTGCAGAAAACTTCCCAAGGAGGGGAAAAGAACTTGACATACAGATAAGTGAGGCATATAGGACTCCAGCTAACCTTAATCAAAAAAAATCTACACA